TGAGGTCTGCATATTTGTCATGTTTTTCCTGAATCTTGTCAATCATGTTAGTGTCAATAGTGACAGAAAATGCAATGATATAAATGATTTCATTGGATTTATCAAAAAGGACAAGATCAGGTTGGCCTAAATAGGTCTGAGGCTGTACGGGCCTATTCCAAAGACATTTGTACTTATTATTTTCCATGACGCCCTCTACATATTCTGGGTCGTACCATGTATGGACCTCTGTGTCAAAACCACAAGCATTGCGAAGACGGTAATAAAATGATCGAGCCACTCCATCAGTTAAAATACTGTATTTGTGTCAATGCTGGCCATCCACTGACAACGTGTTGGGCAGTCTCATTAAATTCATTGCATAATCTACTTTCATATATACATTTTTATGCAAAATCACACATTGACGGTTTCGTGTGGGAAGTGACTGGTTATTGTTATTGTTATTGTTGTTGTTGTTGTTGTTGTTATTATTATTATTATTATTATTACAATCATTTTCATCTGAAAATGAAAAATGCAGCAATTTTCGAGCTTAACGGTGGATAAATAGTCTATAATAAAGGAATAATCTTGCCATAAAGTAACAAATCGTCATTCAAAATGCTTTTCAGTCAGGGCATCATTCATAAAATGATAAAAAAAATTCCTCATTGAGCTTTTACATGTTAGTGGTGTAGAATAGGTCTTCAGCAACCCATGCTTGCCGTAAAAGGCCGTCATATAGCTTGAATATTGCAGAGTGCGGCGTTAAATAACAAACAAACAAGTGTTACATGTTAGTAACAACACAGTTTGCACGATCTACATAATATAGCTCCGTATATAAATGAGCCACTTGTAAAACTTGTATTTATTTACTAAAATGAAGGTTTATTTGATGAAATATTTAAAAGTATATTTGAGTGAGAGGATGCTGTTTGCGCTGTTGACATGGCGACATGTTAATAATCGAATCCCAGCAAGGCAAACCAGTGGTTGAATAGCGTGAGTGTCGAACCACGCAATCGGGGCATGATGACTCACAATGTTTGTTTTTTGGTTTGTGCGTTTGTTGTATAACTCGGCAATATTCCAACTATATGACGGCGGCCTGTAAATAATCAAGTCTGGACCAGACAATCGTGTGATCGATACTGCGAGCAAGGATCCACACCGTCGGGACGCCGCCATCAAGCAAGTCACCGAGCCTGACCACCCGGTCCGTTTGATCGCCCCTTACGACCAGCACAGGTTGGTGGGGACCGGTTACACCCGGGATCCCCATGGGGCCGACTCTAAATGGATCAGATAAGAAACTGTGACCATGAGATCCTCATTTATATCGACTTTTAGGACTAGCTTGGTGGACTTGTGACCTTCTGTACCGTAGTCCCCAAAGGCTGAAATATCGCGTGAAGAAAGTATGAAAACAGTGTTCATGAAACACATCGTGCTAACTCGAGGAATAATGAAAGTAACGTGATAGATAGATAGTGCACAAAGGAGGTTAAAGAACACCCGATGTTTTCATGACTCTATCTTTGCTAATGGTATTGCAACACACACAGCCTTCCAGTTGTGGACAGTTAATCATTTGTTTTGAGCAGGAAATGTACACAAACGTTTCTAATGTCGGCGTATATTCATGTCCTTCCACCACATAATGTGAAAATACAAATAGCGTTATTGTTTTCAGTAACAAAATGACACACTTTTAGGATTCGTTTTACTAACTGTAACTCTCCCATCATGACAACAGGAGTGTGGGAAGGACTTGTTGGCTAATTTTGTGTGTGACCGTACTGCAGTTGTGTGTCTATATAGCCATTCTTATTTACATGACTTGTTTTAGTTCAAGCTCGCCCAATCTTCTCACTCTCCCAGTCACAAATCCCTCCACTCACTCTCCCAGTCACAAATCCCTCCACTCACTTTTTCAGCCACAGACTCCAACCACTCACTCTCCCACCAACAAACCCGTCCGTTTGCACCCCAAAACTCTCCCACCCACAAACCCGTCCGCTCGCAGCACAACAGTCTCACACCCACAAACCCGTCTGCTCGCACCCCAATACTCTCTCCCATCCACAAACCCGTTCGCTCGCACCCCAACACTCTCCAATCCGCAAACCCGTTCGCTCGCACCCCAACACTCTCCCTCCCAAAAACCCGTCCGCTTGCACCCCAACAGTCTCCCTCCCACAAACCCGTCCGTCCGCACCCCAATACTCTCCCCCCCCACAAACCCGTCCGCTCGCACCCCGACAGTCTCCCACCCGCAAACCAGTTCGTTCGCACCCCGACTCTCTCCCTCCCACAAACTCGTCCGATCGCACCCCAACACTCTCCCACCCGCAAACCCGTCCGCTCGCACCCCGACACTCTCCCACCCACAAACCAATCCGATCGCACCCCAACACTCTCCCACCCGCAAACCCATCCGCTCGCACCCCGACACTCTCCCTCCCACAAACCCGTCCGTTCGCACCCCAACACTCCCTTACCCGCAAGCCCGTTCGCTCGCAACCCACAACTCACCCACCCATAAACCCGTCCGTTCGCACCCCAACAGTCTCCCTCCAACTAACCAGTCCGCTCGCACCCCAACAGTCTCCCACCCGCAAACCCGTCCGCTCGCAACCCACAACTCACCCACCCACAAACCCGTCCGTTCGCACCCCAACAGTCTCCCTCCAACTAACCAGTCCGCTCGCACCCCAACACTCTCTCACCCGCAAGCCCGTTCGCTCGCAACCCACAACTCACCCACCCATAAACCCGTCCGTTCGCACCCCAACAGTCTCCCTCCAACTAACCAGTCCGCTCGCACCCCAACACTCACCCACCAATAAACCCGTCCGTTCGCACCCCAAAACAATCTCCCTCCCACAAACCAGTCTGCTCGCACCCCAACCCTCTCCCATCCACAAACCCGTCCGCTCGCACCCCAACAGTCTCCCTCCCACAAACCAGCCCGCTCGCACACCAATACTCTCCCTCCCACAAACCAGTCCGCTCGCACCCCAACACTCTCCCTCCCACAAACCAGTCCGCTCGCACCCCAACACTCTCCCTCCCACAAACCCGTCCGCTTGCACCCTTACATGTTCTCCCACCCCAAGACTCTCCCACCCACAAACCCGTCCGCTCGCACCCTAACCCTTTCACACCCACAAACCCGTCCGCTCGCACCCTAACCCTTTCACACCCACAAACCCGTCTGCTCGCACCCCAACACACTCTCACACACACAAGCCCGTCCGCTTGCACCCTTACATGTTCTCCCACCCACAAACTCGTCCGCTCGCACCCCAACCCTCTCACACCCACAAGCCCGTCCGCTTGCACCCTTACATGTTCTCCCACCCACAAACTCGTCCGCTCGCACCCCAAAACTTGCCCACCCATAAACCCGTCCGTTCGCACTCCAACACTATCTCACCCACAAACCCGTCCGCTCACACCCGAAAACACTCTTCCACCCACAAACCCGTCCGCTCGCACCCCAACACACTCTCCCACCCACAAGCCCGTCCGCTTGCACCCTTACCTGTTCTCCCACCCACAAACTCGTCCGCTCGCACCCAAAAACTCACCCAGCCATAAACCCGTCCGTTCGCACTCCAACACTATCCCACCCACAAACCCGTCCGCTCACACCCGAAAACACTCTCCCACCCACAAACCCGTCCGCTCGCACCCCAAAGCAGTCTACCACCCACAAACCCTTACAAGCTCTCACACTGCCACAGCGTCTGCGTGTAACGTGTGGTAGCGATAACTGAAGATGACAGGCACGGCGCACATGCGAGGCAGTCACGAGAAGGTTGACATGCGGCTGAATGAATGTCTCAGCATTATCAAATGACCTTCACCTAGGGAAAGCAACATCACATTTTTGTGCACATGTACCAGTCGGAATATGACTAGCTTTTCTTCATCCAGTACAACTATAAAATGTTGTACCTGTAGACTAATATAAAAAACCCTAAATATTTCACTAATAGTTAAAATAATATGATTTCGAGCCGATACAGTGACTTTATCCAAGTCGCGAAATGACTAGGGCAGGTAACTCTAAAACAACAAAGAACTCAAACATAATCACCGTTATGTTCAGTATGCTATTTTATGTGGTTTGAATATAATGTGCATCTCTAAACAGCCTAGCCCTTACGCAATCAGCACGGAAGAGCCTACTCTGGGCTGATACATTGCTGCCTTGTCGTTCACAGTTTCTCGGTTGTTTCCGGAGGTGAACGGAAATGGCCGAATTATTCCGATGTAAATTCGGAATGAGAAAATCAATCGGCAGCCCTTGCTGAATTGTGAATGAGAAAGGGGACGGCTTTCGTAATTATAGCAAACTGCCTTCCAACTTGTAATTACTCAAACAGAACAAATTACAGATAGAGCGACTGATGTTTTGCTTTGTAGACCTGTAAAACATAGTGGATGCAACCCATTGTATTGATAAAATGCAGTGCCTCCTCGCTATACTGGGGACTGATAGCAAACCTTATTTCCCCTTTATTACGCTGTGCGGGGGATGGATAGAAAACCTATAATGTATCCATTATAACGCTGCCAGTATCACTCCAGCAGGGTTGTTAGTTTGTACTGCGATAATTCTGTGCTTTCTTACTTTGACACGCAAGTCGAAATGAAGCAATATATGATCAAAATATATTTTTTAATGATTTCTAAAATACCATTTCATTTAAATCAGATTAAAATTTTTTTCAATTCTATGAATAGGGTTGTAGTTTGTCTTATACATTGAAAAAAGTAAACTATACTGAAGCATTGCCTCACACTTAACACCCTTGTGATACATTCAGGGGTATAAAACGATAGCTTTTCCTGGGGTTTGTCTTGAATGCCACATCAATATGACGACGACAATACCACTCCTGTGTCTTGTAAGCAATACCACGGCAAAATGACGACGACAATACTACTCGTGTATCTTGAAGGCAATACCACGGCAATATGACGACGACAATACCACTCGTGTATCTTGAAGGCAATACCACGGCAATATGACGACGACAATACCACTCGTGTGTCTTGTAAGCAATACCACGGGAATATGACGACGACAATACCACTCGTGTGTCTTGTAAGCAATACCACGGCAAAATGACGACGACAATACCACTCGTGTGTCTTGTAAGCAATACCACGGCAATATGACGACTACAATACCACTGGTACGTCTCCAAGGCAATACCACGGCAATATGACGACGACAATACCACTGGTACGTCTCCAAGGCAATACCACGGCAATATGTCAGCGACAATACCACTGGTACGTCTCCAAGGCAATACCACGGCAATGTGTCAGCGACAATCCCACTGGTCCGTCTCCAAGGCAATACAACGGCAATATGACGACGACAATACCACTGGTACGTCTCCAAGGCAATACCACGGCAATAAGACGACGACAATACCACTGGTACCTCTCCAAGGCAATACTACGGCAATATGTCAGCGACAATACCACTGGTACGTCTCCAAGGCAATACTACGGCAATCTGACGACGTCAATATGGAGACAATATCCACAACTTATCATATTATGGTATGTCCATTAAACTGTTTCTTTGTATTTTCAGATGACAAAATTAAAGATGGTTCACCAACCTGAGGTAAGAGAGACGTTAAGCATGCTTATATTGACACCAGTTAATTCATTTATTTACTGTTACGTTCACATGTAAATATAGTGTTCTATCATCAGTACAATCACATATACTTACATTGTTCTACAATGTTATACAGTGTTATTTGAATTTAACACACAAGTCAAAGTGTAGCAATAGATGTTTTTTTATTACAGCATGAAATTCTAACTTGATTCTTGATTCTTTATTCTTTTCTTTTTCTTGTTTCTTATGTACAAACATTAGACTGACTGTAACAGATAGAAAAGTATATGGCTTTTAAATTTCCTTAAGTTAACACATTTGCTTCCTAATACAGCAGTATTATACCAGGTTGGGCTTGTTTACTTCACAAAGGCATGTTCATTTGATTGACAATAATGTAAATTACAGCACAAACTTGGACATTACTTAAAAATAGATTTGATTTCAAGAAAACCATTTCATTAAAATCAGCTTCAATAGATATTTTTTCAATCAATGAATAGGGTTGAAGTAGGTATTATGCTTATATTCATATAAAAAGGAATAGATAGAGAATTAAAATAGTGCATATACATATGTTTTAGTAAATGTTTGACTGTTTACATACATGAAATAACAATGCAAATACCAAATATGGCATGCCACATGCTAAATTGTGTCCAGAAGGCGGATGTTTTTAAGTTTGGAGGATACGTCTTTTTCTTATCTTTGAACAACAGCAAGTCTTTTGACCAAAGCTGATTTTGATCATAGTTCGATGAGCTCGTATCAAGTTTTACACAATCGGCCATTATAATTTGTTTATTTTGTGCTCTTGATCATGTCAGAAGTCGACAACTTGCAAGCATTGAAGGAAAACAGCTGGTTATCAACCAATTGAACATATTATGTTTCATATAAAATATGTCAGTTACATATGTATTTTACAATGTGACGTTTCCAGTGGGCCAATCTGAACCCTTATCTCTCCTCGGCCCTTGTCCAAAACCATCCAGATATTTGCTAACCCTTCAGTCACTATATGCACGTGTCATGCCACCTGTTCTACACCACTCCACTGTACAAAGCATGTGTTTGCACGTGCAGATTAAGAAAATCTCCCTGCACGTGCACTGGTCACATGACATGCAAACGCAGGTTAGCTCGTGCACACCACGAAGCGAAGGTAAACATAGGACTATTGACTATAACTCAGCCATATCTTGATTTTGGTTCACTTCATCAGTCAAGATCGGTATAGGTCAGTAATGGTCAGTTGTAGTCAATATCGGTGCCACGCACGTACGTCTTCATTATGAAACTAGGAAAGAGTAACCTGGCTGTTCGCGTTTCATCGTGATCCGACGGCGACGATGTTGTTCATACCATCAGTCACCGGTTTGTGTGGAATCCAGTGTATCCAGGCTGCTGTGATATAGCTGGACAAACCGGATTGGAGTTATCAGTGTCGATTGACGCTGATATTTGCTGTCTTTGTGGCAGTCAATTGAAATCCACTCAATCATTTTCATCCAAACTGACACTTAATGAAAGAACAAAGACGCCACGTTTGGGACAGAATTAAATTTAACTGAAAACCCCAAGACCAAAGTCACAATGATGAAAGCATACTCATTTCACTTTTCTTTATGAAATATACAAATTGAATTTGAAATTAACCACATAGAGTAATAATGTCCTACTTTGATACATTGCTTGACCACTGATCAAACACTGACCATTGCAATGAAACAAAATAGCACGGTAGCATGCAAATCAACGTACTTAATCATATATCCCTCAAATGGAGAATAAAAATTCTTCGATATCGTCCCTTGAATCTGTACTTCGGTTTACCATGTCAAATTGTCTCGTCTCACAACTGTCGTGAGATTATAGTTTTATAGCAAGGCAACAAGCAATTTCGTTACGCAGTTTTGACATTTATTTAATCATTTTAATTCTGAGGAATACAGTGTATCCTGTATAAGGTCACACATGCGCGAGACGTCAATTGGGGTCACAGACAGGGTTAAAACATACATGTATATGTTACAAAGCTGGCAATACATTCATTCTAATCTTGAAAAAAAAAATGTAAGTTGATGCAAACTCATCATTTTATCCCGGTTTTATGTGATATAGATGTTCCTTGTTCCATGACCTGCAACAACGTGAAGGGATTCACGTGTCAACCACGGGGTGTAGGAGAGTTTACAAAAAGTCATTTTCGGTTAAATATTTGTGCGTGACAATCAGATATACCTTGTGGGTGCCATCATATTTTGGTATGGGACACTCGAAGTGTAAACAGTCAACTGTAACGTGACAAGCCGGCACATCAAACATTATTACATCACACTATACTGTGCATGCATGTATTGGAATTTACAAGGAGGCATCTGGACAAGCGGATGGCTATACTTAATGAGTCATGTTCTTTTAAAAAATTCTACATGAACAATTCACACATATGTTTGACTATTAAACACTTCTTGGACTCTGGTAAGTTAGAGTGACTACATGAAACGTCCCCCATCTAGATTGTAGTTGTAACATAACAGAACCTAGCCGAGGCAAACCAGTGGTTGAAATAATGAACAACGTCCCTAGACGTCGGGCACGATTACACAAAGTCACAAAGCAAGACCACCCGACCCCCCTTCAAGCTCCCTTCCCATCTCATTAGCACACACACACACACACACACACACACACACACACACACACACACACACACACACACACACACACACACACACACACACACTGATATACACATACTCACACACACCCTCTCTCTCACACACACACTCATACACACACCTCCATATCCACACATCAACATACACACAACAGCACCAAACCACACACACACACATTGTTTTCCATTCACATATAGCGCACTGCGACGCTAAAATTATGACACAATAATGAAACGTCAAAATCAACGTCGATTCTGACTTTACAATAGTTGTTCAACATAAGGTAAGCTTTTCAATATTACGATAACACCAACTGAATGTATCATTAACTAGTCTCCGTCGTAGCCAACCAAATGCGAGCTCTTAACGCGACTTCAACACCCGATCCCGCTTGGATAATACACAACTATCTCTGTCCTTTTATATCATTTTATCACCAATCCCTCGATTCAGTGGACACGTATATCACCTCCCTGTTCAGTAATCACACTATGATATACATGTTTAACTAACCATGCCAGGGTTATAATGACACCTCGTTGTATGGTAATGTCATGTTATCAGTCATGCTGTGATAAAATGTCCCATGTCGTATCTGCGATAATTATGTCTAACTTCAAAGAAAAACCTCAGGCGCGTAACCATGATGTATATGACGCCGAGTGTTTCATGACGTTAAAAATGCATAAACCTGCGGTTGTCTCCTTTCATGGGAAGCTATTCATGCAAGGAATTTTAAAACGTCATCTCGGTTTGCTTAAGTTTTGACAAGTTAGTCTTAGTTGATAGGTCAGAATAAGAAAATAATTTACCTTTTATCGTTTTAAAAATAATTACTGTACATTTCAGAAAAGTATTACACAAAAAGTTGTTTGTTTGAGGACCACAGTTTAATTGACATTTTCTTCTGTTTGGCGGTGTCGCCATCAGTCAGGTTTTGAGGCACAAACACGTGTAGTTCATTGTACATTCGTGGTATAATTTGGGGACGCATTCTGAATTTGTATTGATAGATCTAGATATTTGATAGGCAGTCTTTGATAGAAGTTGCTATCGATAAAAGATGTCACGAATTCCCGATAGATCGACCTTTTATGTCTCTTTGTCATCCTTTTTAAATATTTTCTATTCCACAGTATAAAATTATTAGCGCTCTCACCTTTTAAAAACAGTTTATTGTCTTCTTGTAATTCTCAGTCCAGCTTTCATCCTGCTCTGAAATGTAATGCAAACACTATTAGATCTGGAAACAATATCGCAAAAATGTCAACAACATATATTTTTATCCCTGAAATGATAAACTTACATATGCATCGTCTTACATGAATTATCATGGTTGATCATCGCATACGTATGTGTTCTAAACCTCAGGATCCCGTTGATCGTGGATGTAAATCCCACATTCAATGTGATTATGATTTTTGGTGTTTCAGAAACATTCTCGTAGGTATCTCACATGTGACAGACATTTACCGCATTGTGCCCCTTCCAAATAACGCCGAGTGAGTGAGTTTGGTTTTACGCCGCATTTAAATATATTCTAGCAATATAGCAGATGGGAACACCAGTAATGGACTGACAGACCAGCTTAAACGCACGTGGCTGAAATACTGTTCAAATGGCGTTTGACCCTACTCACACTACTCACTACTACACACAAGCAAGACTCTTTTTTAAACAATCATCATTACTACGTGCAGATGGATACTATTCTTTCTATTACAGCCAAAATAGATACAGAGCTATCCTCCATGAAGCTGATACTCCGCGCTATAGCTGAAACGTTGTTCCTTCACTTAGTCCCTCACTCACTAAATATGTACAACAGCATATGTGACCCACCAGAAGAAAAGGGACCTTATGGGTGCTAGGATACAGTTGTGCTCTGACGTCATAAAGAAAGACGTTTGACGTCAACCTATTTCCGCAAAAAAGGCCCGTGTGCGGACTGTACAGAAATATCTTATTTTTCTCTAGTTTGTTCGTAATGTAATAAAAACATTAATTCAAAACATTTCAGCATACATGTCTAGTTTCATTAAATAAGACATTATATATAAAAAATGCAATCATTACGTAAACAGCTATGCGTCTGAATATGGGACATTGCCGAAAATGAGTCCACATGTTTGATGCCAAAAATTGATGCTCATGAAGTGTATTTTTGTTGTCCTCAGATACTATAGTTTTCATATATGATGAGAAGTCAAAATGTGATTTTCAGCCATACGGTACCTCATATCATGGCTAGTCACATGTAGGCAAATATGTCACAACATGAGCAAAGAGCTAGGGTGTCCATGAGTTTCTTGTCAA